GGATCTTAACCCTTGACTTGGTGTTGTCAGCACCGCACTCTCCCGAGTGAGCCACGGGCGGCCCCAACTAAGGCAGTTTTGGGGGTTTCTTTTTTTTTTTTTTTAAAAAAAGATGCCGGGTAAGGGGATCTTAACCCTTGACTTGGTGTTGTCAGCACCGCACTCTCCCGAGTGAGCCACGGGCGGCCCCGACTAAGGCAGTTTTAAGGTGCCTACTTGAATTTGTGAAGTTGATTTTTCTTAAAGTAACACATATTTTTGTTTTAGGAACTGGAACAGTACAAAAGAAGTTCTTCCAAGTCTTGGAAACAAATTGAGCTTGATTCTTGAACCTAATTCAACTATTACATATTTACTTCTTCTTTCCCAAATAAAAGTAAGGGTATTTTGTTAATTAACTATTGTGGCAATATGTAAAGAAAGATAAAATGTGGAATTTGTTAAAGGAAAAGCCGAATTCCTTGTACTAGTGCAACTCTGGATATTTTGAAATCTTTTAAAAGGGAGAAGTTTGTGTAAACACATGTAATTTTTTTTAAAATAAAAGAACCTTCTACTACCTACCTTTAACATGGCTAAGCAGTGTATACTCAGATTAGCATTGTAGGGAAAATGGTCAGGGCTCCCTCAGATGTTCAGAATCTTGCGGAGCATTTGATGTAAATATGTAACTGTGCACATGCGCCCAGGCGTTCCTTGGGTATTGTCTGTGGAAGCATGTGGGCACCCAGGTGTTCCTGGGTTGTCTGACTCACACCTAGGTGTCCTGGGTTATCAGACTTGAGTATAAAGGAGGAATGGCAATCCACAGTACCCTCTGCCCCCTGGATGCCCCGGGGGGGCCATGAGGAGGCCACTGCTGCTGCTGGAGGCTGTTGCTGCCAGGGCCCCCGCAATGACCCAAGAGGCCACCGCCACTGCTGTTGCTGGATCTGTAAGCTACTGCTAAGGACAGTTTGTGTTGCCTGTCAACGGCTCCCAGGATCTTTCCCAGTTACCTAGCTCATGGACCTGTATGTGAGGGGTCTGGTGACCCAGCCTGGCATATGAGAGGTCTGTCACCCAGTCTGTACAGTGAGTTTGAAGGGTCTGTGAGCCCTAACCCAACAATACAAGCATGTATAAGTTTCTGCTTATATGTGTTTAGGAACATGAAAGCAAGACTATTATTGTTTTGAGCATCAGGTTGAATGTGCATGTTGGGTGCATTCCTTCTATGTGGGGTTCTCAGCTGCAGCTGGTAGGAAACTGGAATTGGGTTCACAGGTGTCGCGATTTTACTCCAACAGTGAAGCACAAGAAGCAGCTGAAGTACTTATTTAAAATGCACATTCCTGGGACTCCACACCCAGGGATCCCGCGTCAGTGGCTTGGAATGGGGCATTTTTAATCACATCCTCACCCCACACCACCCCCAGTGAGACTGACACATTTATTTTAAATATCACATTTTGAAAAACAGGCAAATTTAACAAGATATCTTATCAATAAACAGGCCAAAACTTCAAGAGTTTGGGATAACCAGGGTAATTTTCCAGGTGGGATAACCTTTAAGAAGCTTTCCTAATCCTGTAGATTTGTATACCTGCTAGCCAGTTCAATCTTGGGTAAGTATAATTGTCCTTAACCAGGAAAGTCATTTGTTCCGTGTTCTTACATTTCCAAATATAAAATATGTTGACTCTGATACGCCAGCCAAATAAGCACATTTACAAACCTCAGGAACTCCAAGACTGATGAGTAGTGTCTGAGTGGACAACAAACTATCTGATTATTGTAGTGAAATAGGATTTCATAAACTGTTTGCAGTGCATATGGTTCTAACACTATAGAGAACAGAATTTTCAGCATGTTTCTAAGGAACCTCACTCTTAAGAACAGACAGGTTCCCTCCAGAGTGCTGTGGAGAGAGCGCCCTTTAAATTCATAGTGAACATTATGATCTCAGAAACATCACTGACTTGGTGGGAAGAAACAGCGTATTCCACAATAGCAGTAGGAATTTTTATTATATAATTTGATTTTCTTACACATCACTGTCCATTTTTGACTTGAGACACAAACTGTCTTGTTGAAAGCCATTGTGTTTTTCTAAGATACTATCACTAACACTTAATAGCTTGAAGTCAGTCACATGTGATGTCAATTTTCCAAATGTTTCTGAGCTAGAATGACTTTCATCTGCATATGAATAGTAGAAAATGTTTCCACTTATGTTGTACACCCGTATCTTTCGTAAGTTGAAATCAGTGATTTCAAAAGAGATTCCTGTGGGACTCTCTTTGAACTACTTTAAAAGATTATCATCTCCAGAATTGTCTATAACTGATGTGACATATATAATCTGTAAAGCATTATGTAACTATTATACCATAATCATCAGTGTCAAAGACCTTTTATAAAATTGACAATACTATTCTGGTAACTTACCGATGTCTCCAGATCCTTAAATACTGTTCTAAGAAATAGAATTTTACTGTGGTTTTCTTAATGAAATGATCTTTCCTACTATAATGTGAGACATTTCAAATGCTATAATTTATCATTCTTTACTAGTTCGGTCGCAGTAACTGAACAAGTTCATGTGCTGTCTCCCATAGTCTCACTCAAAGTTACCATGGTAACATTGAGAGAGTCTCATTTCAGAGTCGTACATAAATTACTTGAAAATCCATCAGTTATTTAACAGAGAACCCATTTTAATAACTTATATACATCATTTCATCCCTGAAAATATGTAATGTGTCTAAATTTGTATTTGTCAGTATTCTTTCCCTTTACAACTCAAGAATGTGAATTCTTAGTGTGTAACCCTGTTCATCTTAGTATGAATGTTGTGTCAGTTGAGTGTTTTTCTATATGGACTTTAAATAACAGCTGCTCTCCAACCTTAAAGAGGTCATTTCTCAGTCCATACACCTTGTCTAGTAATGTTTACTTCTTTTTTTTTTTTTTCCTTTTTGTCTTTTTTCGTGACCAGCATCGGATCGCAACCCTCAGTGTTGTGCCCGTACCGGGCCGGGACTGGCAACGGGATTGCAACCCTCGGTGTTGCTCCTGCACCTTGCTCAGCCAGTGAGCGGCCGGTCTGTATGTGGGATCCGAACCCTCGGCGGGAGCGCTGCCGCGCTTCCCAAGCGGCGCACTGTAGCAGTGCGCCACCGGGTCGGCCCCTAGTAATGTTTACTTCTAATTTTATAAGTAAACTAAGCTGAAAGTGAAAAATAGCAAACTAATCTTTAAAAACATCACTAGAAGTTTCTCTGATGTGATGGGTTCACCATTCAGCCCATTTCGGTGCTTTTTTATTCTGTGTGTGTGTGTGTGTGTATTTTTTGGTGGCTTCCTGGTAACAGGGATCAAACTCTGGACCTTGGGGTTATCAACACTATGTTGTAACCAACTGAGCTAACTGGCCAGCCCGGTTTTTTATTTTAACCTTCAGTAAAATCATTGGGTGCTCAGACCCCTCATATGAACATGTGCACATAAATGTGGACTTTAAATGGTAGCAAAAGCATTCTTACCCAATTCTGCATGAGGCTTTGCTCCATTTAAACCCACAACTCCTTTTTCTGTTATTTACAGTCAGTGATCATTCAAACATTTTCTTTTTACTGAATCCTTTCTCAAATGTAAGCAGAATTTTTTTAATGGACCTATTTTTCTGCGTCTAGAACAAGGAAAACAAACAGTCACACCAGTGTCTCATAGGTTTATGAATTATTATTTACATTCTTGGACCAACTCAGTCACAATTTCTAAATACCACATATCCCTGCAAGTTGGAATAGCAAGGAACTGTGATCTATTTCCATTGAATCCAAGGCCTGAGTGGATCCAAGGGGCACAAATGGAGTCTTAATGGTTACAAGACTTAAGATGTCCTATCAGGAAAGAAATATATGACATTCTTATTTCAGACTTTCAGAGCAGTGACGCACATGTAGCAGCTTAAGTTCCATTTTCCCAGCAATGTTACTTGCTATCTGCTAATGAGATAATCCCTTATTTTAAAAACAATTATTCCTAGGATGACAAGAACTGGAATAAATGCATATAAAATCAGAAAGTTTGTTTTGAATCTGGATGTTGCACCTGGGCAGGTGTTCTCAATGAACTGAATTCCATCAGTGTAGATACACACTGGGTTAGTTGTCACAGAACCATTTGAGCTGCCTGCCAAGGAAAAGATTGACAACGTCAGCTTTGGTACATCTCAGGTAACTTAATCAGCAAGTATTTACCAAATGTTCACCAGTGCTTAGCACTCTTCTAAGAACCCTATTCATGACAGACACAGGATATTTTATTTATTTATTTTTTTTGTCTTTTTCCGTGTCCGGCAACGGATCGCAACCCTCAGTGTTGCCCCCGTACAGGACCGGGGACCGGCAACGGGATCGCAACCCTCGGCGCTGCCCCCGCGCCTCGCTCAGCCAGTGAGCGGCTGATCTGTATGTGGGATCCGAACCCTCGGCGGGAGCGCCTCCACGCTTCACAAGCAGCGCACTAGCGCAGTGCGCCACCGGGCCGGCCCCGACACAGGATATTTTAGAGCCCTGAATTCACAATTAGATGAAGAAGGAGTGAGTTTTCTAGGCCTTGGATTCATTTGAAGATGGAGATGGGTTTGTTTCTATTTTGTGTATATAAAACCATTACCATATTCCCAATAAAAATCATGATTACTTAGTACTGAATATCCTAAAGTTACTGATGTTATCACCTAAAAATATTTAAAACAGGTACTAAACTCTATCATGCTCTTTAGTTGTCTTCAGAGTGGCCCTGGGATTTCCAGTGGCCATAAGAACCTTGTCGTGTTCCCACCGCCCACTCCTGAGACTGGAGAATTGACTTTTGCCAAAAATGGCTTTACCCTGCTATACGCTGTGTACATTTTGGGGAACAAGAAGCCACTTTAGCCTGCTTCAATGTATTTGGTACCACTGGTCTCTAACAACCAGTCCCCTGAAGGCAGGTACAATGACATCACCAAGGTGTATACACAGAATTGAAGAAATAGAGCTGCAGGCAGCTGTCTTAGAGCACGCTGCCCCCGGGAGTCAGAATGACCAGGGTTCAAGTCTGCTTTCTACAGAATCGGGCATGCTGTTAATAAATATATTTAATCCAAAAAAAAAGTGTTCAGTAGGTACAGGAATTGAGTCCATCTAGAATACACTAGACTAGTTTGCCTCAGTGTACATAAGGTCTTTCATTTTCTAATAACATCAAAGTGGCCTTAAGCTATTGACCTTTGATAGACTAACTTGACTACTGCTTATTTTCTTTTTAATCAGAGAAAATATTGGATTTATTTTGAAACAAAATTTTAAATCAATTATTATAAAATATAGCTTTTATTTCAAAAATACATTTCTCTCAGGAAATTGCTTCCTCAGAGTAATATGTAAAAACAGTATTCCAAAATAGAATACTTACCACAAGTCAAATCCAGTCCATAGAACTCATTGACTACAAGAATCTCACTGCAATATTTTTGAAATGTAAAATAACTGATGATTTTAAAAAGAAGGGGCATTTCTTCCATGTTTCTTAAGAAAAAGAAAGAGAGATGACATTGAATAGGCACTGGTAATAGTCCTACCAAATGAAAAGAAAGGCAATCTTTATGTTTTCCAACATGAATATAGTTTTCCATCTCTCTATTATAAAAATTATGCTCACTATAAAAAAATTCAGACAGTTTTAAAAAATATAAATACCATTGCCCAGAAATAACATTTTGGTGATACCTATAACGTATGTGTGTTTACAAAATTTTACATACATGGAATTAAACTCTTCATGTTCTTTCCTAATCTGCTTTTCTCCTTCCAAACATGTCTCAGACATTCTCCAAAGTCAGTAAGCATAGCACTTTGTCATTTTTAATGACTGCTTGGTGGTTCATTATAGTAGTGACTTTAATTTAACAACCCCCTTATGATCGATTGGTATGTAATTTTTTTGGTGAGCACCACTGATATAAACATACAAGAAAACACACACCTAACATCACAGTAGAGGAGGATATTTGTGATTAAACAGATTTGAAGGTGCTAGTGTACGAAATGAGAACTAGAATACAAAGGGGAAAGGACAAAGAGCAAGTAGACATTCATTGTGAAGATGGAATATGTCTCTTCTCCAGCAATCTATTTTAGGAGAAACT